GTAAGAATGCATGGGTTACGGTCCTCGCTCGCTGTCGTAGTCTCGCGTAAATGATGGCGCATGTTGTAACGCGCGTAGCATGCAGCGTGGTTGCACCCCTGCCCGCGTGTGTTGCGCGCGTGGCTGTTGCGTGTGTCGGGCGTGCATGTGCGTGGTGCGCGGTGCTGGGCGGCGTGGTGGTGTGTGCGCGCGTGCATGCGGTCGTGTGCGCGAGCGCTGCGTGATTGCACGCGTCGCCCTTCTGCGTGTGTGCGCCGGCATGCTGCCGTGTTTGTGCGCGTGCATGCGCTTGCGTGGTGGTGTGCTGCGTGAACTGTGCGGCAGCTCGCTTGTGCGGCGTGCATGTGGTGTGTGCGGGGTGCAGCCTGACGTCCGTGTGTGCGCCGCGTGCATGCAGCGTCCAGGGCGCGCGTGTATGACCGGAGATCAGGCTCGTCTCTTAAATTATTTACAAGCGCTGCCTTTAATTAATTAATGCGTGTAAGTAAAGATAGCATGCATGCTTGTAATTCCAACCAATCAGACAAAGATCTTACAATAATTAACCGGTGTATCGTAAAGTACAAGCATGCACGTAATTCCAACCATCAGACTCAATGGTGTGGAAACGCCCCCAAAGATGGCGGAGTCGTCTAGTGGACCTAGGGGTCCCGCTGAATATATCGATTGTATAACTTCATAATTCGTATTCAGATTCGACATGACGCTTACTATTTCATGGACAGGCAGATCAGGTCGCGTCTTTATTATTTTACCAGGCATGCCTTTAAATTAATTAATGCGTGTCATGCAGGGGGGCCACCGCTGTATGTAAAGTTACAAGCATCACGTAATTCAATGAAATTGGCGTGCTACTGTAAAGTTACAAGCATGCAACTATTCCAACCAATCACGACTCACATGTGGAGAAACCGGGTGGTTGCGCGTTGGAATTACGGTGCATGCTTGTAACTTTACTACACGTCGTTTAATTATTTGTAAGAGCTTTGTCCTGATTGGTTGGAATTAAAAGCATGCAGGTATCTTCACATACACGTATTTAATAATTCGTGCATGTTGTAACTTGACATAACACGCAGTTTAATTAATTAAAGCATGCTTATAAATAAGTTCAACGACAGACTGATCTGCTGTCTCACCGCGTGCGCTCTCGCCTAGTCGTGCGCCGTGTCGTACAACCATGCTTCGTGCGAGCTTGATTAGATGTGTGTGTGTGCGTGTGTGTGCATGTGTGTGTCGTGTGTGTGGTTCTGTGTTGTTGTGTGTGTGCGCGTGCGTCGCGTGCGTGGTGCGCGCAGTGTGTGTGTGTCGTGTGTGTGCTCTGGTGTGTGTGTGTGTGTGTGTGTGTGTGTGATGTGTGTGTGTGGTGTGGTGTGTGTTCGTATAGAGCGAACGTACAGATACAATATTAATCTTCGTCCTAATCAGCGGCTTTTACAGGTTTTTACGACAGTTAGCCAAGTTTCGATTTACTTATTTACAGTGCTAGGAATCGTTTCTAAACAAATCCGCGCGCAACTAGATACATTTTCACAACGCCATGCACATTAAAATCCTTCTATGGTCGGGGTTTTCAGGGGCAATAGCGACGTTCATTTAGTAGTGTATGGTGTGTCATTCATCATTGAAAGTAGATAAAGCCCAGTGTGGTGAGATGTGCGTATTCTGACCGAGAGAACCCAATGGTAGAGATTGATGATGCTGATATAATACACAACAAAACGTATTCGTTTTTATAACAACAGCCGGTAGTTGCCGTTAAATTGTATCATGGAATTACAAAAAAGGGGCCAACTCCATGATTTTAGGAAATCCAGATTAATTGTCTATGTGTTTATTGGTTAGTAGCTACTCTAATGAATGTGAAGGAAGGCATTCCACAGCATGAACTACGTGTAGGCCTATACCGTGTATAGACCTTGATTTATTTGCTGAACACAATCCGCTGAAGCAGCACCATTTGGTCAGAGTTTTGAAGTAAAGAAGACCTGCCTGTCATCTCGCTATGGCAGAAAATACTGTGACATCGGATGTTGTTACGCCCCACACGTTCAAATGTTGATTAGAGTAACAAAGTAGTTCTTTATTGTGTTATATTTAATTAAAAAGGGCCCACCCTCCACCGTCCAAAAAGTGTGCCCTCTGTTTTATGTGACTGACGAATATCCTCCCATATTCTGCCTAAATAAACCTCTGTTTTGCCTTTAGCACATAACACTTGGCTGTTTTAAGTTTTATTTGGTATAGACTAACAAATCAGAGTAGAAAAAATGCTCTCTAAAAAATTCTTTTGTGAGAAGATTAGATTAGGCAGATACTGATAATTTAGTCCTTGAAGCTAAAATGGTCTCAGAGTGCCTAAAGTAATAATATTTAGCACTAATATTCATAAAAATTATTGCACTTTTGTGACGTGTCTTGAAATTAGCATGCTGTTAGGTATATGGGCATAAGTTTTCCAAAAAAAACACCGCATACCAATTAGGGTGGCCCCCTGGTGCCACTATGCACAAAATCCCAATATCGCCGCCTTGGAAATAGAAAACATCATTCCTCAGCTCCGTGTTAACTAATAGAGTCCTTTCAGTAATACCACTTTTGCGCAATGTTTTCGGTGGGCGAGGGAATCCATTTCTGAACTAATTTATCTTTTTTTAACATCATTGTTTCAGGTCAAAGGACTTATATTCATGTGATTTACAGCCAGAACATCTGGTTCAGCTAATCAGGCACATGACAAATTATGACGTATCGCTGTTCAACATCAATAGCATTAATTTTTAGCAAATACATAGCTACAATCAAACAAAAACATCATGCGGCAAGCTGTGTTCTTCAAAAAATATTTGTGTAAACATTATTTTACAATAAAAAGTTTACTTACTGCCAGTTGTAACAGCAATGTTCAAAAATGATAGCCAACACATTTCGCAATAGGCCTTGTTGCTTCATTCCTAGATGAATAGGCTTATAACGGTAAGGTGAGAATGAACACCATTGTTGCAACTATCGATATAGCAACCATAGCAGTCATTGGGAAAAATTAGAAAGATGTAGGTTCCACTGTCACTTATTAGTGCAGCCCCTTGCACTTGAACAATGGTACAGTGGAGTCCAGATTGACCAGGGGCGTGCTACAGGGGGGGGGGTCTAGGGGGTCCGGACCCCTCCCCCCCATGCTCGCGCAGAAAAGCGCTTAAGGGGCGTCTAAATTCAAAAAAATTCAAAAACCACCTCTTCCGCTTTCGCGTGCTCGCAAGTTTGGGTTACAGTTAGACACCCCCCCCCCGTTACAAATCCTGTACACGCCCCTGCTTGATGGCACTTACAGTTGCCTCTACATGCAACTACACAGCCACAGTGGAGTAGAAGAGAGCATGCCTGGCTGACATCGGCCAAATCTGTCCAATATGGTACCCATTTTTTGGTTCTGGTGTTCCATTCCCATCCCTATTCACTGGGGTTCGGGATTTCGGGGTTTGTTGAGAGGGACTGCTGCCAGACGAATGCGGCAGTGAGCTGAGCACGCTTAGAATGCTGGAACAAAGCATGCTGGGTCGGTGGGATTAAGTCCAGGGATTTGAGGCCATGGGTGAACATGACTTTCCTTGCTTCATTCACCGAGGTTGCACCACAGTTTTTACTGTACATTAGTACAGTCAATGGCTAACGCTCCATTAGGGGCTCCCAACTTTGATATTAGTAATGATTAATGATTAATGATTAATGATTAATGATTGATAATCCTAACCCTAACCCTAACCCTAACCCTAACTCTAACCCTAACCAAACCTATAACATAACCCTAACCATTAATGACATTAAAGTTGGGAACACTCCTAATGGAGTATCATCCCAGTCAATCGCTCAAGACGTTGCATGTGAAGTGAGTCAAGTGTCAGGCTGGTCGGGTCTTGGGTGATGGCATTTATTGTGTCGCTGACCTCGGGAAACAGAACTCAGATCATTACCATAAAAAAGGATAAAAACTGCACGCACCTATTTACTTGTATAGAGTAGTGTTGTAATTTGTCTAGCTGTCCTTGTATTATACGAATCTACATTGCTCTTCACAGTTCACACATCTACATTGACCGCCTCGCTTTTTATCCATTATCCGATTTTAAATCGAAATGCGGGTTGGTTAAAACTCATAAACTCGTAACCGCGTTATTTAACTTACGATATGCATGCGCCGGACGTGTTTTCAAACCGAGCTTCCTGAAACACCCGACACGCAGAGTTGAAACCACGGTGGTAATAATTACATAGTTGTTCTTAAAATTGGAAATTATTGGATAAAATTGTAGGTGTACTCAGCAATTGAATGACAAAGGCATGATTTTCTATCGCGGTAAAAATTTTCAACGCATCCACCATTATGCATACCTACATCTAAAAAAAATTAACAGGCCTGACCCTGTATAAATCATTAATTATGAGTTGAGTTTCCTCCGAATTGAGTAGGTTTGCCTCAAAATTCTGTGGCAATAAGCGTATCCTTACGGCGGAATAAATATTGCAAATAATTATGAGCTAAATAAGGACATTTCTACATTATTTATTATAGTATTTTTTCTCTCGCTCTCTCTGTTTGTGCGTGCGTGCGTGCGTGTGTGTGTGTGGGTGTGTGTATTGTAGGTATAGGTATATATATATATATATATATATATATATATATATATGTGTGTGTGTGTGTGTGTGTGTGTGTGTGTGTGTGTGTGTGTGTGTGTGTGTGTGTCTTCCTTTAGAATTCGCGACAGATGATGAGCAAAAACTGCTAGCCTGTAATAAATAGGATCGTGCTCCTGTTCGTGTTACGGCTTTTCGCTGCAGGCATAAACCTTCCAAACACAGGCCTGTGTCATATATAGGAGTGAATGAGTGTGTTTGTATTCACTGTTAACGTCGTTTGCGCGATGACGTTCGCATTGCCTCGCATCATTCGTAATTTGACCAGTAATCACGCGTCGCGGTGAATGGACATTCTTTTACACCCCCCGGCATCACCCACCCTACTCTTCTTACAACTCTTCACACTCAGCGAGTGGGGCCTGTCGGGGTTCTTGTCATCGCTATTCAGCACCTGATTCTCCGACATTGATATTGTCCACACGCCCTGCCGGCGCGCAGCGTTCCCGCGTTTCGCCGGCGGATTGCTTCGTCGTGATCTACTAAGCGCGCGGCGGTGGTACGACTCCGATATCCTCCTGTTGTAAAGCTGATGCAGGTGCGTGAAGTGGTTCTTGTCGCCAAGCACGTGCGAGTCGCTGGTGAGCGAGGCGATGCGTTGGACGTACTCCAGAGAGCCGACGACACTCGGAATGCGGTAGAGCGGCAGTGAGAAGGCGACGGTCGACGACCACGGAATGCTTTCGTCCTCGCTAGCTGGGCCGTCGAGCACACGTGGGCGGATCGTTCCCGTCACCTTGTCGTAAATGTTGTCGCCTGGCAACGAACGTCGCTGTTCTTAACATCAGGGACGTGGCAGACAAGGGAGCGGTGTGGTGGTGGTGTGGAGGAGAGGGGGGGGGGTCAAAGCCACACGCGGTATGCGTACTGGATCGTGGACGGTTGGCAGTTCGTCGTTGCCGATTCGTCCCAGAAAGACAAAAAATTTATGTGCTAACGCGTCTGGCCTTTCGCATCACAGGCACTTGGAGCGTTTCAATAAAATATAATGCTAAATAAATATGAAATCTATGTACTACCAAAGTCTTAATGTTTCTCTACTCTCTTTCACCTATTATTGCCGACAATTTCCTGTAAATGCCGTCCAAATACTCATCTGCAACACACGCTGGCTGCCGCACGCTAGCTGCTGCACACTGACACATAAATATATAGGTCTACACACACTATATATTTATGTGTCAGTGTGCAGCAGCTAGCGTGCGGCAGCCAGCGTGTGTTGCAGATGAGCATTTGGACGGCATTTAGAGGAAATTGTCGGCAATAATAGGTGAAAGAGAGTAGAGAAACATTAAGACTTTGGTAGTAAATAGATTTCGTATTAAATTTTATTTAGCATTATATTTTATTGAAACGCTCCAAATGCCTGTGTTTCGCATCACATCTTTGCGACATCTCGCACATATGTTACCGTACGTAGCATATAAATCTATCGTAACTACGATGGTTTTAATAATATTAAATTTTATAATATAAAATGTGTTAATCTAGACGGAAGGAAATATCGCTACACGATTTTGTGGTGGTGCCGGCAAAACCACATTCTTTGAAGTGGGCATCTTATTACCGATGTCGTGCTCGACGAGATCGGAGCCGAGTAGTTCCTGATCGAGAGGCAATCGTAGTCCGACAGTGACGTCGATCAGCTTGAGGAACACAAAGGCGATGACCGCCGTCCACACGATAAGCGAAAGAACGCCTATCGATTGTATTCCCAACAACCAGAAGCTGCCGCTCTGTGTGATGAAAGAAAAACAAGCAAGTCGATCCCTCCCGCGCGTCTAATATTACACAGTATACATGCAATACATTACATTAGTTACATTACATTAGTAATATTATACATGTAGGGAGATTAGGTAAATTGTCACCAAGCCTGCCACCAAGGTCCTACGTGCGATTCGCATTACGGTATGTCCCGGAGTAAGAGGTAATTCAGATCGCAGTCGGAAATTGTTGAGTCATTCTAAGATATATGTCAACTAGCACGAACAGTGTAGAGACAAATAAAGCCGGATACGTTGTTTGGCCTCATTCAGTCAATCACTACATAGCTCGTATAACTAGTTACAATTACGTCGCACAGTAGTATTAGTTATGTCCTTGCGGGCAATTGTCCACACGAGCATGGTTACGTCGGCGGCTCAAAAAAATCAACCTTGTGTCTGTACGAAAAATCGATGCAGAAATGATTATAACGCAACAGAAACAGCTGTAGTGTTTTTCAGTTTGTACAACATAAGCCTCGTTCACACGAGACCTCGTATTTATGGGGGGGGGGTTCGTGACTCTTTTAGAGCAAAACCTTATATTTTCTCATTCCTTATGGTAAGACTCTCAAAAAAAGTTTGGGTAACACTTCTGCGTCAAGTACGTTTTTTTTCTGTACAGCTAATTATGCGATTTTCGGTTAGGCGTCAAAGTGAAAAAATGTCAATATTGAAGTTTCAGAGCATAAATATTTATTAAGCAACCATAAACTTTCAAATTGCACTGAATTACATTGAATGAGTATTACTAATAACTTTCTAGCATGATTTGTTGCCATAAACTTTGTTTCATAGTACGAAATGGCTACATTTTGCTCAATTTTAGCAGTGGAGTATTGTATGTTTCTGAAGGTATTTGTAACGAAGATGGCAGTAGATTAGCTTCTGCGAGAGAAGCTTATTTATGTTTGACGTCCAGCAATTCTCTCCATCTTCTTTGGTAGAGGGTGCCTGGTTGCAAGTTGAAATTGTACTCTTATTGGTACAGTTTCAAGTGCGCCTCTTTCTCTCACTATCCTTCACTGAGGGTTCATCTGAGTACGTGTCGAACACATAGTCCATCGCCCGAACTGATGGTATACATTCCGAAATGGATACAAATCCTAAGAGGAGATCCTTGAAGCGGAGAGGCTAGTCACAAGAACCTTACGACTGTGGCCATTATGTCTATGACGATATGAAGTGCCCCCCCCAGGTGGCCCCACCCCCACTGAAATTCATGCTTGATAACAAAAATTGGAATTAAAAACTGCCGTAGAAGAGTATAATACAAAGAAAAGTTATATATTGTGCCC